CCTCCAGCGGTGTCCGTGCTTTCTCAACTCAGGAATGACCAAACATTAGTTTCCCTATGTTTTTACAGCAGCAATAGTAGTCTTAATTCACTGTTTTTTTTTATTTACCTCCCACTCTTCCTACGAAGGCAGAGGCTCCTGCTCCCTGATGTGTCCCCCAATATGTGCCTCTGCAGCACAAAGTTTGTTGGTGGCTGGAGCCACTCACACCTCCTGTTGTGTCAATGGCCATGCTGTGACTGTCATGTCCACATGCACATATACGTTCCTGGAAGCCCTTTGGAAGCTCCTTTCTTGTCAGACTAAAGCAAGTGGGTGAAGAGGGAGGGTGATGTCACAGCTTTTCTACTCCAGTGACTTCAGTGTTAAATTGTATTTCCTCTGTTTTCCCCACTGCTGAGATATGCATACCAGGTCTCTAGACAAATCAAATGGTTGAATGGCAGTTAAAATCCTAGCTTAACTGCTGGTGCAGTGTCAGATTTCCCCATTTTTACTGCCTGGATGTGTCTCATGAGCCAGGAGAATCAGAGAGGCTGTGTCTCGGCTGTGCTCCTCATAGATCTTGGCCTGGATTGGAGCCAGCATCATCTCTGGTGTAAATTATAGCAAGTCCAAAACAAACTGCAGCCACTCAAACACCAGGTTCTTGTGGAGTCATGACCCACCAAAGTCCAGGTAGTCCACTCATGTACCATCCCACTTCCTAAGCCTCAGGAAAGGTCTGCCTAGGCTGTTATATGCGATTTATTCCATCCAGGGATATACCCAGTAGAGGGGTAAGTAGGGAGGCATTCCGTTTTGATGATGCCATATGGTAAGAAAGTTCTTCCATGGCAGGAGTGTTTCTAATTCAGGACCTATCTGATCTATGCTGTCCAGCTTGTGGTGCCTTTTTTTTACTGTGCATGGCTCCAGTGCAAGCTCTGTATGGTTTGGAGGAAGCTCATGTCTGAGCTAGAGAGCAGGTTACAGAAGCACTGCTTGGCAGCTCCAGATTGCTCCCCTGTTATCAGCCTTAAACTGGGCCTTGACCTGCACAGGGAGCTTGTAACAGTATTTTCTAAATCCACAAATACTGTTATATGAAATCTCTTTCTTCCTCCAAAGATTCTCTTTTGCGAACATGTCCCCGTCAGCCTGCTTCGAGCATCAGTCCTTTGCTTCCCATCAGACGTGCTGCAAGTGTGAGTGTATGACTGAGCATTCATGCATTTCTTTCAAATTTCCAAAGTCCAGAATAGGGACTACTCAAGCAGCTGAATCCAAGGAGTGTTGACAGCACAACTTAGTTACCCTGGAACTAATTCAAACTTCTGGATATGTACTGCACGGGGTTACCTTAGATCCAGAGCTGGTTTGGCGATCACCATCCTCCTTACTCTATTTATCCATCAGAAAATAGAAATAGGTGTTGCAGTTCAGTACAGTCATAAACACGTCATTACCAATGGAAAATTGTGTTGGAAATTTCTTTTATACCCAGCCAAATTTAGACAAATGGAAAGGTCAGCTATGCAGGCACTGGTTTTACATATGTGCATTAATTACAACACAGTTGCCTTTTGCTATTCATTTCATCTGCTAAATATGTATGAATTTGAATGAGAAGAAAGAGGAACCATAGAAAGACAAACAGAAAAGGGAAGCCAGGGCAAACTATGAGTGGGACTGGTCCTTCCTTTCTGGACCACACACTGGAAAAGATTCAAAACTAGCCAGGTATAGGGAATGGGAAAAATAAAGAGAAACATATCCATGTCAGTTACAGCTTTCCTTTAAAAGCTTTCAAAGGAGAGTGGGTCTAGAATTGCTTCGTGGGCTCAGCTCCTTGGAGAGCCCCTATGCTGGATTTTTTCTATAAGGTCTATGGGTTTAGGCACTCTGGTATGTTAGCTTGTTCATAACTGTAGAGCGGTGCTCTTGGGCCAAACTCACATTTTAGTTAGTCCAACAAATTTGTCATTAAGAACCATGACTTACACACACACATGCACAAACACCCTTACTGGGGTATCTGGCCTCAGTTAACACTGGAAACTGGGAGGAAAAGAATCCTAAACAATGCCATCATGAAATTCAGTACATGAATCTGGATTCATGTTTGGATTGAACACTTTTGGATACGACAGTGTCTGCAAATCAAACATTAAGTAAGTTGTGGTTAAAAAACTGAAAACAACTTTAATTAATGTAACCTGCACACTACTCTGCTCACAGCTATATGCTAACTGTGTACTCATCTGATAACACAGTGCCCAGATACCAGGGGCGATAGGACTTCCACTGTGAGAGATGTACCACGAAAGTTGTCAAAACCTGTCCATTCCTTTCCAGAACAAGAAAGATGAATGTTACAAAAGAACCACAGAAAAGAACAGGACTTCTTTGGGGAACACAAGGTAATGAGCATGTGCATTACAACCAGACTCGCTGACACTGAGTTACTGCAGTCTCCCAGCCATGCCAACCTACTTCTTCAGCTTCACGTGTGGATACAACAATACAGAGACCCTCACCTCTTCTGAACTTCCCCTTCCTGGTTTTTTAGTGTGAATTATCCAACCATATGGCTTTACTAACTTCTTAGGTAGTCCTTTCATAGGAAGGCTCTATTATTTGCAATATATTGGCTACTGTTATTGACTTCTAGGGAACATAAAAAAGCAACGCGCTAGAGGCTCTTTGGCAGTTAGGTAGTTCAACAAATCTTCTTCCTGAAACTGTTCTTGTCTCTTTCCAGGTATCCTGCAAGAATCTCAGATAATACATCAAGTCCACAGCGAATACAAATTGGGCTGTGCATTTGTAGCATTCTAGTTCAGATAAAATTAGCACAGATTTTCTCTAATCCATTTATCTATGTGTTCACATGGGGAGAAGGTGTGTGAGATGGGAGGTGAGGCATTTACCCCAAGTAAGGTGACATATCATACTAATGCTTTCTCTGTGCTCTACATGGGTGTAGTAGCTTAATTCCTTGCAGAGCCCCACAAGAATTGTGCTGATAAAATACTAACAGGAGGTGCTTAGTGAGCTACAATTTAGGGTTTCCTGATGTTTGATTCCTGCTGTCCCAAGAATAATACTCACCATGCATATGTAAGGAATAGCATGATGCCTCTACCCTGTTCTGTGTCTGCTACAATTATCTATATGCTCTACATCTTGCTAGTCTTGTTTTAGTTAGTTTATTTAGTATGCTTGTAAGGGATGGGCTGAATCCTAATCACCTACTTCCTTCTGTATTATCACAAGCAGGTGGGTGGGGTGTTTCAAGAAAGGTAGTTAGGAGTTTCTTGGAGTAGCTAATTATTAATTTGATACAAAGCTAAGTAACTATACAAGAAGATACTGACCAGCCGCAAAAGCATGACTCAATAACAAGGAAAGATTTGGACCTTTGCCTCCCTTACCTGCTGCTAACACACCAGTGAGTCAGAAGCAGGTTAGCAGCTCTGTGATGCCAGCGCATCTTTATATGCTGTTCACATACCATTGCAACATGTCACATTTGATATGGCATAATGCAATGTGACTAATTTAATCAGATGTGAAGTGCACTACAACAACACATCAAGTCTAAAAATGAAAAAAAAAAAAAGAAAAAAAGAAAAGAAAAAGAAGTTGGGGAAAAATAAATCTTTTGCCAATCCATGGTTGGATTATTTTTCTCAGCTGGAGGGCTTCATTTTCTGAGCTTGGTCTTTTTTATTCTGACCTTCCAGCCAAGGGCATGTGTCAGGAGGCTTGTATTTCCCAAAGGCAGTGACACAGTCTATTAGGTCATATGAGCTGGATCATCAAGCCTTCGCCCACCTCAACTTCTGGGCCACCATTCCTTGCCCACCCCCACCTCCCCCAGCAGTAACTTACGATACGATGCCCTTGCCTTTGACAGATCACGAGGGAAAGAAGCATTTTATTGCTGAACACGTACATAGCAGAGCCCAGAAACTAAGAGAGATTACTGTGGTCTGGTGCTAGTCATTTAGTAAGTCTGCATTCAATTAGCTGCTTCTGAAATATGACAAGGAGAAAACACAAGATTTACCAGTGCAGTTGTGTTTCTAACCCAGGGCTTAGCATTGTTTTGTTTTAAGGTGATGATTAGAATCATAATTACCAAAACAGCCCATGTCCACAAAAAATTCATCAAGCTTTCAGTGCTTGTAGAACTTGTACCCACATGCATCCCCTTTGGACTATCTCTTAGTCTGTGGGTCTGCAGACAGACAAGCTGCCATTCACAGACATTAGCAGTCCTTTTTTTTCAAACACAAAGTGACATTTGCTTAGGAAATCATACAAGCCTTTCTTTGGTTTAGTCCTTTCTTTCAGAGCTGCCTTTTCTGAAGGGAAAAGCACCTAGGACACAGAATGTAGCGCAAAAAAACATTTGCCTCCTCTCCACTGTAGGCCTGGGGTTTTTTTTGATTATGAGTCATGGTCCTCAAGGAATTGTGAAAGAGTCTCAGTAGAATTTTACAAAGTGCTAGAAGAAGCTTAACACTTAAGCTAGTGAAAATCTACAAGCTAGTTGGACCTGAGGGGGGCTGTACAAGGGTCAGATAATCTAGAAGAAAGACTGTATTTTCACCAGATCTGGAATATAGGGCTATTTGGAAGAGAAGAAAAAGCAGCTACTCCAGTTACTGCAGCAGACGCTTGCACAGAGTAAGACTGAAAGAAAACCTTAGAAAACAATATCATAAAATATATTACAAAGAAGCAAAACTATTTATCCTGCCACCCTCTTACTACAGTGCTGAACATATCTCAGCAAAGACAAAGATTTACCCTTTCTTCTCCTTTGCCTCTTTGAGGACCAAAGAGGCTTTGCTATGATGTACTGCACTAAGACTCAAACACCATACACAGCTTTTGTGGATTCTCTTCTCAACTTCATTAGGCCTGGAAAGGCTTTGTTGATTACAAACAGGAAGATGCTGTGTTAGCTCCTCCTCCAGTGGTTCGTTTACTTCTTATACTGCTAGTCTTTTCTACCTCCCCATGTTAGTGGAGTTATCTTCGTAGTCTTACTTAAGAATAAGGAAAGGATACTCTTTTATGAGGGAGTAGAGCTAAGCTGTAAGGTAAGTTCTTGTCATGCCTAGGAAGAATCGTTGGTGTTAATTTACCCTTGTGTGGCTTCCCTTTTGCTCTATATGATACGAGGCAAACCTGACTTTTATAGCTCTTAGAACCTGTGTTCTATTGTTTTCTAAGACCAATAGCTTCCTGACTTTTCCTCTGTTCATTAACTTTTACTCTTAGGTTTTAGGTGGATCCTAACAAAATGGTTCACTGGGACAAACTAAGAGCTTTCCATTCCCGTGGGGAAGAGGATACTGCAGCAGCCAGCCAAAACCAGCAGTGTGGTAGACCGCAGCTAACTAGATACCAGAGAAGAAGGTGTAAACAGGCAACTTCAGAGCTGCCAAGAGGAGGCCAAACCAGGGTCTTGCAAGGTGATCAACAAGAATGGGGCAGTAGTATTGGGTCAGGAGGAAAGTGGGTTTAACTTCATTTTGGTTGCAGATGGGGACTACTGAAACTGAACTTATGTATTTTGTTCACATGTGCATATGCAATATCCTTGAAATAAGGGCTCAAAAGTAAAAGAGCTGCAGGTGACACTTCTACGGCTGCTCTGTTACCTTGTTTTCAGAGCTGCTATTCTCTGACTCCTATAGAATGTTATCTTATATCTTTGCATTTCTTGTTGTGGATCTTTCTCCAAGGCCTAAAGATTCCTATTTGTGAAGCAAACAGAAAAATATGATCTTAGATTACTTGTTCTAGAATTCCTTCTTTTTTTTTTTTTTTTTTGTAGAATATGTCTGGCTTCAAAACTTGAGTCAAGGCACTCTTTACATAACATCGCTGCTTGGAGTTAAGGCTGGCTCCCTGCACTCTTAGTGGAGTTACTTCCCAGCCTCTTACTGTGCAGATCAGCTCTACAGCTCACTAAGACCAAATGGAGTGCAGGATGTATTGGGTTTGCACCTACCCCCTGTGAAGTGGAGTTATAGAAGCAGCAGCACAGTAGTTTCCTAGTGGTCTGATATTTCTTGTCCCGAAGAGACTAAAGGCTTCTCTGTAGCAGAACTGCAAGTCAAAGTTGCTTCAAATGCCTTTGTTATAACTGGTAGGCAGTTAGCTTCTAGAGCTTACAGCCAGTTTGTATATGCAAGAAGTCCTCCTGAAGTGCAGATGTATCATATAGGCATGGAGCTCTCACAAGGTAATAATCATTTTGGCTGACTTATGAAGGACTCCCAACTACCTTTCTATGCCTGGAGCAGGCTTCACTGTGTAACACAAATGCCTTTCAAACGGCACAGCTGGGAATTTTGTAAGGAGTAGGTAAAGATTGTCTAGGAATATTTCAAGGTCAGAAATAGGGAAAGGGACTATCTCTGAGAGAAAGGCCATAAAGAAACAGAAAACAAGAATTGCTGTATTGGGCAGAGGGGTTGGAAAGCATCAGGAATAAATTAGATAATTTGAGCTACTGAATTTAAAGCAAAATCATAGAATGGTTAGGGTTGGAAAGGAACTTAATGATCATCTAGTTCCAACCCCCTGCCATGGGCAGGGACACCTTCCACCAGGTGTCCCTTCTTCCTCCACTAGCAACTTCCATAATGTTGCTCAAGGCCTTGTCCAAACCTGAACTTAGTCCATTGCCACATATGGAACTTTCACAGCTTCCTTGGGCAGCCTGTGCCAGTGCCTCACCACTCTTGCAGTGAAGAATTTCTTCCCTATATCTAGCCTATATCTGCCCTGTTGAAGTTTGATCCCATTACCATTTTTCCTATCATTACAGTCCCTGATGAAGAGTCCTCTAGTATGCTTGAGCGAGTTGTAGCTAGGTTTTACCTTCCTCCAAGTTTTTTGTTGATTTGTTTTTTTTGTGGTTTGTTTTTTTTTTTTAATGGCTCTAGTCTTCTGGTTTAAGGCTCGGTTGAAGTTAGCAAGCAAAGTGGATTGCAGGACTGTTGTGATGGTTTGGATAGAATTGGGGAACATTGAAATCCTAAGAGCGTTGTGACCATGGTCCATACGTTTAGTTCTAGGTCTAGCTTATCGGAGATTTCTCTGCCTTTACTAGAAAGACAGGAAAGGTTGGTTTCATGAAGGTAGAAACCACTGGAATGGACTGCAATATACCATTTAGTTTCTCAAGATTTGACTCTCTGACTTTGGACAAATGACATTAGACTTGTGGTAACCAATTTACCTACTCAAAGGTAAGGGGGGTGGGAATGGTATGAGGGACCTATAAAGTATTAGTGATTAAGTGTTGTAGAAAACAGTGGGACAAAAGTTTTTTCTTGGCTTTGGATCTTTAATTGGTTTGTTCTGCTTGATTTATTTTTGTTTTCATCTGCAGTTTACAGATTTAGGAGTCGTGCCCCATTTACCAGTGTGCACTGCAATGGTAAAGGCTCTTTGAGGCTCCCTAGGACTCCTGAACTGACAGAAGATGGAGACATTATGGGAATGCTGGCTAGGTCTGCCAGCTACTGGCAGCAGCAAGAACCTGCTCGATGTTGGATCAGAGACTGTACTGTGCTGACCTGCTCAGCAGCAGGTCATCCTTCTAGAAAACATCTGTTGCAACACCACCTTCTAGGTGAGGAAGATGACTTGATCTACTGGATGAGAAACGAATTAATCTCAATGGATGAAGGCAATGATGGCACCATCAGGGACACTGGGACATCCAGCTCCCAGGGAAGTGTTACAAATGATGATGTTCCCAGGAGTTTTGCAGAGGAGTATTCATTGGTTCCCTTAAATACACTAAAGAAATATTCTGCTCAGGGTTTTGATCAGCAAGTAGAAAACTATTTTGCAAAACTCTGAGCTTCAGGATAGATGTTAGGAATTTAGGAAGCAAATCTGTTGAAGATGCAAATGCCAGTCTTCATGTGCACAGTTTATAACAATGCAGGCTTAAGCATACAGTAAAGCCACAAAGGTTCATGCAAGGTAAGGCCCAGTATTTGCTCTTGGATTGACAGAGAGCTAGAAAGATAAAACTGAAATGCAAGTAGCTTTTTCATACTTGTTGCTGTCCTCTTTGGGAGTTTAAAAACCTGTAATAATCATAAGGCATTAAAAATGGAAAAATATCTGAGTCTAAGCTAAAGTAATGACTAACCCTTTTGCAATTGTAAGGGATATACCAAGAAATATGGTTGTGTTTTGTCTTTTTCTCAGCAGTGCAGTCTCTTCTTAATAACTTTTTGTAGGGTATTTGAAATTCAAAGACCTCATATGCTGGTATTTCCTTTCACTAAGTGCTTTAATTTACTCTATAGAGGTCTAGAAGGTTTAGTACTTTTTGTGTTGCCTTTTTTTTTCCCTTGATCTGCATCTAAAAATTCTACTCCACTGCATGTATTTGATTATTCACATATAAACAGCTATGTATGATAATGTGACACAGCTAGAGCATATCCTGCTTAAAAAAAAAAAAAACACCCAGGATACCTACACCCTCTAGCTGTGGATAACTTGTAATATGAATTAATAAATTATTTTTTCTTTGTTCTGAGTACCTTGTAAATTTTTCTAGTCACTTTCTGTTTTTTTCAGCTTAGAAATGTGCTGAGAGATTTCAACTTAAAAATTATTACTTTATTTAGTCAATGAGTAGGCTTCAGATATACAGCTTAGTCATATCAGTAAAACTAGAGTGCATGGTTGCTGGAAAACAAATATACTTCAGAACCTGATTGATCTTGTTATTTGGAAATACATCTGTCGATAAGGTTTGGCTGTGTCTCAAAGGTGACTCTATTTACAATGGACAGGCTTGAAATATTTGATTTAATTAAAACATATTATTTTGAAGCAAGATTTCAGCAGTGGATTTTCTTTCTGTACCTTAGTAGGCAGAGAACCATTTAAGTACTCTCTCTATTGTTGCTCCTTTGGTTTGTGTAGCTTCAGCTATAACCCTTTTCAATGTCACATATTTGCAGTGTATTGCATTTTGCATCATTAAGCTTCTGCAAGCAAAAAGTGAGTCCTCTGTTTTAGATAATAGGAGCAGGATGAAATGGATGGTGGCTGTCTCTGTTCTCTCCATGATACATGTGAGCTGTGCTGTTGCATGTATATGGAAAAAGACCTTGTAATGAAGATACTGCAAATGCTTGCACCCTAGTCCAACATACCAAGAAATTATATGCTTAACCTGTGAAGAGGTCTTGATGACTTGCTTAACCTTCCTAGGAGCTTAAAACTAATTTTTTGCTTAATTATAATTTTTATAAATTGTGTGCTTAATTTTTTGCTGAGTCAGCCTTCTCCTTGCACAACAGAGTCCCTCCATATGAGGTTAACTTTACATGCTGTGTGATGTTGCACTGGAGTGGATCAGGCAACTTCTGCTTTAATTTAAGCAAGTGTCCAAGTTGAGTAGGGGCTGATGCTTTAGACAGGTCTTATGAAGTCTGCAAATTAAAGGTTTTTGTTTTCTTGTTTTCCAAACATTTGTCAAAATACTCGGAGACAAATGTTAATTCTATTTGCTCATGGGACTAGTGAACTCCTCTTCCCCACATCCCAAACCACAAATTAAGTCTCATTCCTTTGAGTGATGGTTGCCTGGCTTTCCAGAGCATTCACATAAAACTGGGACTACCTTGTGTAGCAGCAGTGGCTTAATCCTTCCTACTATTTGTGGTGTTTGATAATTAGCGATTTCCAGCAGTGCTTGGAGCTTCTGCCCACAAGTGCCTTAGGGTTTATGAGTCTAGACCAAAAAAAAGGAAGCTTTTTCTCAGCTGACACTAATACTGTCTTCTTTTTGCTCTGTATTACATCAGAACAGTACAATAAGCATACATTGCTCAACTTACCTGACAAGTTTGCTATGTGAGGGTGCCACAGGGTATGATGCAGAACTAAAACTGTTATCTAGTAGTTATGGCTGGAATACTGTGACATGTCTATGAACACCTCTAAAATTATGCCCTTGATTATATACATTTTGGAAAGCGATGTTTGTGAAAGTCAGGCTGGCAGTGCTTCGTGCAGTCTTGAAGCATCTTTTTCTTTCTAAAACACCCCCCTAGAAATGTCACCAGTAGGTAGTAAGATACCAAGTGTTGTAGAGGTGTCATCTTTTTGACAGCATAGATTCAGTATTGTGTGTTTTCAGCTAGACAATTATATAGTTTTTCCTTGTGAACCTGAGATACTGTGAGCATTTTTGTGCATGCTTGTCTTCTTTTTCACAAATGATCCCACCACTGGGATTTTTATCACATGTTGAGTTAAACACAGGTATAAAGGTCTGAAAGATCAAGACCTGTGAGACAAAAATGTCAGAGTAAATTCCTAGGAAAGAAAAGCCTGCGAGTCATTAACTTGAAGTATCTTCTTAGAAAAACAAATCAAGCAAAGCTGAGGAACAATTAGGGAAAACAAATTAGCCATCTCTAGAAAAAAGTGGTTCAGATGAGATATATGTTTTCTTTGAGAATTTGATTCCTGTGCTCCTTTCCAGTTCAATTCGCAGTTATGTGCCTTTTTACATGTATGAGCAAAGTCAAGGACTCCAGGCCTGAAGTCTAGGGCTGGAATAGCAGCTCCCATGAGTCTAGGGTTTCTCACATCGCTGAGCTCTAAACTATCAGTTTCTTCTAGTATGAGGGTTGCATTCTTCCGAACTCATTATTTGTTCACAGCAATGAAGTTACAAGTTTGCTTTACCTATTGATTATGACAAGAAACAAAATAGCACAAAGCAGGCTAGACCTTGCTACATGAATGCATTGGGGTCCTATGTATATGCTCTGGTTACTGGTACATGGTAGCTTTTACATCACTGCATCTTTACTACTGGAGAAGCCTTTTCTTGGTCCAACCAAGAGGTTTTAAGTATCTGGACACCGGAGAGGGCTGTTGACTCTCTGCAAGGATTTTATTTATTTATTTATTTTCCCCTCCATTTGGGTTTAGAGGGCTTCCTTCTCTTGGTCTGACTGAGGGTCTTTGAGAGCAGCTGTTGCCATGGTATTCTTTTACCCCTTGCTTACATTTGCAGGCGTATCTATATATTTCGTTCAAGAGCTGGCAGGAATAAGAAGGCTTGAGAGAGGAAAGAAAAGTCAGTGAGACCAGACTAAGACCTCCTGAGTGCAGGAGCTGTCTTTGTTCAGCCTTTCCACCATAATTAATGTGGTGATGACCTGTTCCATGACTAGGGCTCTAATATGAATGATCATTACTTATTTCATTACGGCAGCCTCCTTTCCCTTCCCTGTGTCCGGCTGCCATGTGGAAAGACACTTAATAATATTAAAAACTAGTGCTGTTTTTTTGGGCCCAGCTCTAAGGTCAGTAGACAGTTTGGTCTGAGAAAAGATTCAAAGCAAACTTGTAAAGGATCAAGAGTTGTGTTTTGTGGTTTTTTTTTTATTTAAACCAGTCTGTCCATACCTACTGAGAAAGATCCAAAGTACCTGTGACAAAGTGTTAGCTGAAGTGCTACAAATAGCATTTTATTCTTTTCTCCCCACCTCCTCTCCCAAATAACTCTATTGTTCTTACACATCCACAGCATTCTAGCTGTGACTTGACAGGAGCCCTGACAGTCACAAAAGCCGAATCACAGGAGCAGTGCTCTTGTTCCCTGAATTATTCTACACAGCTAAATTTAATACCTTCCCCCAGCTTCCCCACCTTTCACTCTGGCAGATATTTAAACTGCAAATTAGAGATGTGCTGAATTAGCCTTCAAACCTCGCAAATGCTGTCAAAAAGCTGACTCCATAATGATGTGACTTTGATATCAAACAGATTATTGCTTATGTATAGCGGCACTTACAAACATGTGCGTACTTGTAACTCCTGGCCTCTGTGCTGTGAGGCAGCCAGCAGGTCATTAATGTACAGTACAAACAGGACAGAGCCCCGTGGACCTCGCAACCGGCGCACCCGGAGAGGAAGAGTCAGAGTTTCCAACAACCACTTTCAGTTGGCAGAATTGTGATTGGAACCATGTGACAGTTTGAGGCAATGTACCACAGGCAGCCAATTTATTACATATGGCAATATGATTAATGGTATCAAATGTTTTTATAAAAAAAAAGTCCAAGAATATTACAGCAGCCAATTGCACGGGGTCCAAGGCAGTACGAATCTGTTCCATGAATTTAGAGGCAGGCAGATGAGATTAAATGAGAGGGCCAGCGCCATGATAATGATTACAAAGTAAGTTGTTTCAAAAAATCAAAGTGTTTAGAATGTGTTCATGAGCAACAGTCCCTTTTCTCTCTTATGGCCATAATGGATACAGTCTGGAAGAAGTCTCTGAAACTAAACTGCTTTCTGCTCTTAGCCTCTCTTTCTGTAATCCAAAGACTCATAATGGTATCCAACAAAACTTACCAGATAAACAGCAGCAAGTTAAGAAGCAGAATGTTTGCTTATGATAGTGACTTTTCTTCTAATCAGATGTTATGGTTTAGCAAACAGTGGTTGGTTGTAGTGTCTGCCAAAACAAAAGAGAATAGTGCTAAAAGTACTACTATTGAGGAAGAAATTTCAGGAAATGCAAGTATTGACAGGAGGTCTGCACATCACATGTCTCTTACTGTCCATCCTGTTGAGTCAGGAAGGTCTGGCATAGTTATGGCCTGTGTCGGGTTCCCAAACAGTAGCTGGGCATAGTTTAGGACTTGGCATGGTAGAGGCAGTTCTTCAGTGTTAGTTTGCAGAAGTCCACGTTGCTCTGGAGGGTGAGAATAGACACAGGCTGGCTTGTGCTCCATGGTGTGCCTCCATGCCACAGAGCAGTAGTTTTGGTTACCAGCGGTGACATACTGAAGATTGATAGCAATACATTACACAAAGACAGTAATTTCATTTTTTTAATATCTCATGGTTTGTGCAAAGCATAAATGCCAATATTGCACTTAAATGAAATAGAAGGCAGAAGCATGAATTATTGCCCATCTGAAAAATGCTCATCTAAAAAGTCTCACTCATGCTTCTCTGGCCAGCTCTTTACACACCTGGGGTTTTGTGTTAGTAGGGCTATCCCCTTCTAATCCTCTTTTATGTGATGAATGCAACTGGGCATCCTATGCGCAACTGGTACCTTACCTGGATTATGGAGCAAGTGAGACATGGAGCTGCAGCTAGAGACTGAGAGTTGCTGACCTCTCAGCAACAGCTCATACCTGCTGGAGCAGTGCTGGAAGACACTTACAGGCACATGTTTTGTGATTTCACATAGCCGGGCCTGTGCTAGCCCTGTAGTCATTCAATCTGCATGCAGATTGCCTGACCATCCCTTGCAGTATTTAGTCAGTGCTCACTTCACTTTCACACGGTTGCATAACTATGTGTGTTGAGACTTGTGTGTTGGGATGCTGGGTGGTTGATGGGATTGCTATTAAAGACTGCACATGTGTTCAGACTCAGTGTCCCATGGAAGAAAAACCCTATGCCCCAATGCCTTCTGCTTAATAACTACAGCAATTGCAAACTGCTGCTTTCCCCAGGGTAGCTTTGAAGGTGCAGAGGTGCTAGTCCTGAGTGAGTGCAACTGCAATTATTTGGCATCCAAGTTTGATTTCTTTTGTCTACTCTTTTTCCTCTTTTCTCGCTCTGCTGCTATCATTGATGGTAGCACAACCCTTTTGTTAATACCCAAGACTCCTTTGCCAGCGTGCTGTAATACACTGCATGAACACCAAGGTATTTATACCTTTCCTGCCTCAATATAGAGCATACAGCAGGAGGTCTGATATGGCCTACTGCTTCACTTCGTATGGCTTGTGGCCACATGGTCTCTCTTTTATGTGTGTGTGTCTGTGTGTTTATTATTGTTGGATAATGCTAAAGCTTGTAGTAATGTGGCCTGCCAAGGGGATTTTGAAAGGCTTGTTCAGTCTTCAGTCAAGGAAAGTATTTCCTGTACTTTGTGCTGAAGAAATTGTTGCCTT